GATGCATGGTTGGTGACTTTCCAGATGCTGAGGTACCTGTATTCTAGGCACAGGCCAGTACTGAACTGTAGTTGGGCTAGGCTGTGCCTTCTGAAGCGGTGTCTGTTTACAATGAAGTTGCAGTCTCCAGAATTCCAATCGCTTTTCACAGAAGGATTGAAGAGTCTGACAGGTGAGAGCTTAGGATGCCTTGTTTTGATTTAGAAGCCTGTGTAAATGGAGAATCCCAGGGTTTACATTTTTCTAGTCAACATTCAAGTATTTTTGTTGTTGTTGAGCTAGGCTTACTACTTATAGGTAATCCGAAACTATAGCCAAGACACTAGAAGAGGCAAGAAGTTATTGCAGTAACAAACAGAAGTTTTCTGAACACTGTGCCAGGAAATACTTCCATATTTCACAGACTGGTCTTATTGACCCTGAAGCAGTCATACAGCTGCATTCCAAAGCCTGTGGGTAGTTAGTACCACGTTCAGAAGTACATTTAGGCTGTAGTACAGTGGTTCTCAACCTTCCTAATGCCGCAACCCTTTAATATAGTTCCTCATGTTGTGGTGACCCCCAACCATAAAATTATTTTCATTGCTACTTCATAACTGTAATTTTGCTACTGTTATGAATCATAATGTAAATATCTGATATGCAGGGTGTATTTTCATTGTTACGAAGGGGTCGTAACCCACAGGTTGAGAACTGCTGCTGTAATATATGTTGCAGTATGGCTTAAATGGGGCTTTGCAGCTCTGGCTGTTCATTAGATTCATCTGGGGAGCTTTCAGAATATACAGATGCTGGCAAATGAAAATAGATATTTTCATTTGTTATTCATCATTTGAGAAGACAGATGCTTAGGAATGTGAAGTGCGTGGACTCTGTTTCTACAACAGAAAACTAGACAGCTGGGTTTTAGACTTGTGGAGTCTGAGTTCAGAGCCCATCTGTAAGCACTAAGCTCCGTCTTCTGCCTATGTATAAGTGCTTCCAAAGGGAAGGAAATGGGAGTTATTTTCATCCTGCATATGCAGATCTTATCTAGGAACAACGGTAATGGTTTTAACCTGACTAGAGCTGCTATTGCCATGGTTGTATCAGTATTGTATCTGGGACTACAGGTGTGCATCCCCACATCTGGCTAGTTTTATTTTTTGTAAGGACAGGGTCTGGTTGCATTGTCCAGGCTGGTCTTTAACTTCTGGCCTCAAGTGATCCTCACCCTTTGATCTAGGCCAGGATTACAAGTGTGAGCCAGTGAGGCTGGCCTACCTGTTGATTACTATAATTTCTTAAACTTTTATTTTTTTTGGAGACAGAGTCTCACTTTGTCCCATTGGGTAGAGTGCCTTGGTGTTATAGCTCACAGCAAGCTCAAACTCTCTGGTTCAAGCTATCTGCTTAGGTTCCCAAGTAGCTGGAACTGCAGGCATTGCCAACATTTCTATTTTTAGTAGAGACACGGTCTCACTCTTGCTTAGGCTGGTCTCAAATTTCTAAGCTCAAGCAGTCCACCTGCTTTGGCTGTGCAGAGTACTAGGATTATAGGCATGAACCATCATTCTCTGCCATCATGCTCAGCTTTTAATAATTCTGTGTGACTCTTTAAACCTGACTTTAAGAGCTGACTTTTCTTCAGTCTGAGAAATGAGGTCCTAAAGAAGCTAGAGTCTAAATACTAGTAAGATAAAAGTAGTGGTTGCTTCCAGTGTGTCTTGTCCTTACGAGACTGGCACATGAGAGCATGGACCTATCTAAAGTTGACTTTTTCTGGGTTATGGTAGAAGTGGCAAGAATGGAATCTTTCAGTGCATTTCTCAACAGTTAGAAAATCAAAGACTTGGATGTCCTGGTAAATTTCTGTGTAAAAGGCACAAAAAATACAAAAAGTCTTTGTGTGGGTTGCCGTATGGTGATAAATTCAGTTTGAGCCTGCCATAACAGTTCTCAAATCTTAAAATCTGCTTTGTGATGTGTCAGATTAGTTTTAGTGTGTAAGAATTTGGGAGGCTAGGAAAGTACATCTGTATAGTAGTCATATGATTTTATAATTTGTCAGGTTATTTTGTGTATTTTATTTTTGCTTTTGCTTCAGTACAACCATATACTTTTAGTAGCATATAGCATTATTTCACTGTTCTAGAGGTGAGGTTGAAGTTCTGAATGTAGGGGATTTTTGCCTGAATTATATGATTAGTGAACAAGCAAGGACTTCTTTGTCAGCTTTGTTGTGGTCCATAGTCACTGATGTCTGACAGCAGTGCTCAATGTTATGTGATGTCAGAAAGTCAGATCATCATTTGGGGCAATAGGAGGCAATAGCTTCCAACTCTCTTGAAGGTTGGAAGCTCTTGGAAGAGATGTTTTTTCCTATAATACTGGTCTTCCCACCTGCACCTCCTGCTCACCATTGCTGATCCCATCCTAACCTCTAATCTTCAAACTTCAAAACTGGAAAAGGAAGAGGTTTGTAAAAATTTAATTGCAAATTAACATTAAAAAGATAGGCAACAGGCTTGGTGCCCATAGCACAGTGGTTATGGTGCCAGCCACATACACCAAGGCTGGCCGGTTCAAGTCCTGGCCTGTGACAACTAAAACAACAATGACAACTGCAACAAAAATAGCTGGGCAAGGCTCTGCACCTGCAGCTCAAGTGGCTAAGGCGCCAGCCACATACACCAGAGCTGGCGGGTTCAAATTCAGCCCAGGCCTGCCAAACAACAATGACAACCACAACCAAAAAATAGCAGGGCATTGTGGCGGGCACCTGTAATCCCAGCTACTTGGGAGGCTGAGGCAAGAGAATTGCTTAAGCCTAGGAGCTGGAGGTTGCTGTGAACTGTGATGCCAGGGTACTCTACCCAGGGTGACAACTTGAGGCTCTGTCTCTAAATAAATAAATGAATAAATAAAAATAATAGAACATACAGTTTGGGTGGTACCTGTGGCTCAGTGGGTAGGGCACCGGCCCCATATACTGAGGGTGGCGGGTTCAAACACAGTCCTGGCCAAATTGCAACAAAAAATAGCCGGGCATTGTGGCAGGCGCCTGTAGTGCCAGGTACTTGGAAGACTGAGGCAAGAGAATCGCCTAAGCCCAGGAGTTGGAGGTTACTGTGAGTTGTGATGCCACAGGACTCTACCTAGAGCTATAAAGTGAGACTCTGT